GGAAATGCATCCTAACATTTCTTGAGAAAATTAAGGTTATCCTTTTAAATTACCTGCAATATTTCAGATGCGAGCTCCTGACGCCCTTGTTATCCACACTTTGTTGGGTTACAACCAGAGGGCCACACATTTAACTACTCATGTGGAAAGTTTGATGGGGAAGAGAAGGGATTTAGCCATTGTTCCCAGTGCAATAAATGCAACATGGAGAATACTTTTGAAAATGACATGATACAGTCCTATTTTTAATCTGGCACTGCAGGGCACATTTAACTGTTACTTGCAAATCTGCATAATGAATGAATATCTGGTACTTTATTCCCCAATTTGTCCTCTCAAAGCATGCTGGGAGATGTGAAGACCAAGTGAAACCGTGCATGAATTAGTCTGGCTTCTGTGTTGGCTTTTAAATCAAATAATAATAATAATGACGATGATGCTGAAAAATATGAGGAATGATTGTTTTTGGGGGTTTTTTTAATTCATTTTAATGTGATCTTTCTTTCATGTTTAAATGCAAATGAGATGTTAATTTCTCTTAATGATTTGTTGCACCTGAGGCATGGAAAAGCTCACAAACTCAATATTCTGCCTGCTTTTGGCTCTGGGTATGAAAAGCAATTTAACAAAGTGCCTCCAATCAAAGTAATGTAACTTGATTTCACTTGCATTTGGATCTTTAATGCAACTCAAAATCACCGGAACCACTCAAAGGGTGTGTTGAATGTTGTGTAATGACGGGACAGATCATCAGCTGAACAGCCAACCTGAAAACACAGCACAGAAGAGACGACTTTAATTGTAACGTGGACAGCGCAGGTGGTGCGTTTAAAGTCGCTGCGAGGAGGGTTTTTTTTTTTAATGTCATTATTCTTTTTTAACTGTTACAGTACAGACAGACTAAGAGCAGCAGAAAATGTTCCTGCGTGGTTTTTACCGTCTGAAATACGACCCTGTCAGCTGTTAACTTTCGCATTGACTTTTACGCCTATTCTTAATTTTTGATGATTTCCCATCAAAGATCGATCTGGGCTGGAACAGTCACACAAAGCGACAGCGGTTTAAAAAGGAAAATACAACCACCAGACCTGGAAATCTGAAAACAAGGACATATTCAAAATATTTGTTATTGCTTTTCCTCTGAAAATTCAAACACTTTTTTCCCCTCTTCATCGAAAGTGGAGACATTGTAAATTATGTCTCAAACAGCAATTAAAATCCGACATTTGAGGGCAATTTTACAGGCAGATGAGGAGTCAAATCAACAAACGTGTCCTTTTTCGTCGAGCACAATATGTGTTTAATTTTTCAGATTGCATTTTGGATATATCTGCTTCTCTCCATGGACAGGATTCTGTGTTAACATCAGAGCTGTAACACCTCCATATTACTGAAGCACAGCATGTGTGCAGAGCTCTCTTGTTTGTTAAAGAAAAACAAAAACAAAAAATAAAATATACCCCTTTTCGTTTGGAAGAGCAGGAGATGACCTGCTCCTGTGATATTATGGGAGCTTTAGACAACATTCTGGGGTTGCCATAACTCTGGAATCAGAATACACAGCATCAACTGAATTTTCACGATGTCAAAATAAAAAGATCTTCTTTTTTTAAGTAGCCTAACGAATAAAAACAAACACATCGTGCTCTCAGTTTAAACGTTTCAACTCGGGAGTGAGTGGAAAACAGTTGTTACGATTCAATTAATTACGGACAGAATTCAAAGCAAGTGCGAAATCAATCTTTCACGGTGGCGTGGACGGAGTCGGATTGATGCTCCATCTGTTCAGAGAGTGGGCAGCCCGAGTCCACAACAAGATGTCCAGCACGCCCTGAGTGGGCTTTAACTTTACGTCAGCGTGGACATATCAGGAACAGCTACAGACTAAGTTGTAACATATTTTCACACCAGCGAATTTTTACGAAGATCCAAAAAGTTTTGTGTGTTTTTTTTTTTTATGACAATTGGACAAAATAAAAAGGCAGACAAAAGGGATGCATTACATCAGTGATTTATTCCAACGTGTGTAAGTATTTTCAGCTCTGAAAAGAAATCAAATCGAAAGTTTCAGATGGGATAAAGAGTTCCGAATGCATCTGAATCTCCCGACGAACCTCTTAAAGCCCAGAAGGGGTTTGTGTTGAACTTCCAGCATCTGCAGGGAAACTCACATCGATTGGTGACGTCGCGCTAACGCGAGACAGCCAGCGCGCGCAGGAGGAAGGAGGGAAGAAAAAAAAGAAGAGGAACCTGACATGACATATCAGAAAAGAAAACCAAACTTCTTTACCAACACCCGGACGCCTCGATCCTCCTCCCCGCTGCCCAGAGCGGGCTGGTGTTCGGCGGGTGGAGCTGCTGGACCACCGGTGCTCCCTCTTTTCTCTCCTCCTCCTCCTCCTCCTCCTCCTCCTTTCCCCGTGTGCCACCTCTCCTCTTTCCTCTGCACAGGCCATTAGGAAGCCGGGTAAAAGATAAATTGCTCTCTGTCAATACATTACACCTCTCCTAATGGGTGCACGCAGGGCTCCAAAAACATTTTGCAAACTCTTGACACGCAGTGGCAGCGTCTGGGAGCCAGAGGTTTCCGGGTTTTTTTGCGACTTTAACTTATTTATTATCTGCTTTCTCTCGTTTTTTTTTTTTGCAAACTCAGTGCATATTTTCTGGACTCTTTGGCTAGATAAAAAAAAAACAAAAAAAAAAACATTTGAGGTTTTACGTCAAAGCCAGAGTTAATTTGCCTCGCTGGTCAGTTTGATCACCGGTGCCCCCTCGCGCGCTCTTTGACCCCTTCCCCGAGCCTCTGAGCCGGGCGCGTGCTGTTCAAACACCAGCCAAACAAAAAGTCAACCCACAAAGACGGTGTGGTCATTTGTGTTTTAAAACATTTCAGCATTTTGCCTGACCTCTCCCTTTGCTTAATTTTTGCTTATTTTTTTCAGTTGGTGTGTGGGGGGGGGACAAAATGTGGAGAGCAGGAGGGCATGAGGGAGGTGAAAGGATGGTGGTGGTGGGGGGGGGGGGAATGGGGGGGGGGGGGGGGAGGGGGAGGGGGGTGTTATAGGAGGGGGGTGTTGATGGGGGGAATAATGTAGCTTTAAGGGAAATGTGCAGCCGGGTGTGAAATTACAGCCTATAGTGCTACATATTGTACCAGAAGCTCTCTCCAAAAACAGTAACAAAAAGAGAAATCATCCTCTAACCTGACCGGGAGGCAGCGCGCGAGAAGGGGCCCTCTGCCCCAAAGAGGTGCCCCCACCCTTTTAACCCCACCATACCCCAACAGCAACTCCACATATGGCGAATACCTGGACAAATCTACTCATAAAACGAACGATAATATATTTTTTAAGGGGATCAGATTTTTTAGAATAGCAGTTATCCTTTTTATTTCATAAAAACTTTTAATCTTTGCAGGAAATGTTTCAACACATTTTTTTTTTTTTTTTTTTCTCCATCCTGCAGGTGAAGACGTCACCTCGTATTAAACTAACCACTTACTTTTACGCATTTCCCCCCCTGAAGAATATTCTTTGCCTCATGAGACTGTAAGCTTCGCCCAAACTTTTGACTTCTTCTTTTTTTTCTTTTTTTGGGGGGGGTTTGGGAGCACTTCTTGTACAGCCGCCTTCACGTTTGAGAAACTATGCAGCGCCATCTACAGAAGTTGAGAGGTACTGCATGCGTGCAGAGCTCCTTCACCCCCGACCATCCGGCACTACGCACGCTCCCAGTTTTGGACCTGTGCAATCATCACGCCATCAGCAGCCTCAAATAAAGGTCAATACGTCTGCATTTAACCTACATGATCAGCCCGAGCACGATTCGCTGCAGCAAATCAGAGCAGGGGGGGAGAGAAGAAAAAAAAAAAAGATCAGGGGCAAATTATTTTGGGCCTTATTGCTGCAGGGCCCACGTGAAGACAGGTGATGAAAAAAAAAGAAGAAGAAGAATGACGGAATGTGATGGGAAAAATCAGTGATGATTACACCTAAGACGGGGATGTGAAAAGACTTCAGATTTTTCTTGGGGAGACAATGTGTAGGAGGAAAAAAAGGGTAGAGAAGGAGGTTAATCAAAGGGGGAAAAACAAATCTATTCTTCATTTATTCAAAACTTCCTGTCAGCAAGAATTGAATTTGTAGCTGTTATTATGTCTAATAAATTGATAATTGCAACTCGGACTCCATCCCTTGTTTTTCCCCCCCCCCCCCTCCCTGCTGGTGTGTCAGACCCAGAGACCTCCTCATTTGGACCCCTGGTTTCTTGCGTTGGCGAATCACAAAGTGTTGGCATCTATTGCCTTTGTCTGACAAGTCATCCATATAAGCAAAAGGGGGGTCTGCAGAGGGGAGGGGGGGGGTGGTGGTGGTGGTGGTGAGGAGGGGAGGGTTGCAGCTTTTAGAACCACAGACACAGAGAGAGGCTTCATTCCCAGCTCCAAAGATCCAGCCTGACGCATCCTGCACGCGGCACAGAAACCCAGCCGGCGCGCGCGTGTGTGCACGTTCGTCCGCCGTTTTTTGACGCGTGAATCAAGGCCACCGGGACTGAGGAGATACCGGGCCCTGGCCGCTGGAGCCTTCCTCTATTTCTTTTTTTTTTTTTTGTTGCAAGAAAACTGACGCGTCGTTCGCTCGCTGTGAGAATTACCTCCTGACACCTCTTTGAACGCTGTAGCGAAAAAAAACTGAGCAGGGCGCGTTCCTGAGACGATCCCCCTGGTCATGCTGTGCACCTGCCAGAGCTCCGCTGCCGGACCGGACTGCTGAAGAGAAGAGAGGGGGCAACTTTGGGAGGCAGAAGTTGCCGTCGGAACGGTCGTTGAAGCGGAGGTGGAGGGACAAACTATAGGTCCCTCCATCGAGTAGAGTCCCCCCTTTTTTCTTCACATTTTCACCCCTTGATAGGAAGGCGAAACGGCGACTTCAGTTGATTATCTGTCTTTCCTGTGCTATCCAATGGATATTCACTGCAAAGCAGACCCCTTTACAGCGATGCACCGTAAGTAGCACAACCTGAGTTTTTTTTTTCTTTTTCGCTGCAGCTTTTTGCTCGCATGCGGATAAAAATTAAAATAAATATTTTATTCCTAGGCTATACATATTTTGACATCTCACAGCAAACCTCGGCAATTTTGTACAGGAAACCAAAATCCTGACGCTTGGAAAATGCAAACAACCAATCAGAGAGGGGGGGGGAAACAGTATAACAAAAACAAAAACAATCAATTTCACACCTGATGTCGTGTAAAATTCCTACCGTGGACAACGTTCCTAATATCAAGTTTCCCCACGCACAGCCGCAACGTGCAGACAGGAAAACTTGTCACAGTAAACAAAGAACAAGCTTTAGCAGGTGCTCTGTAATTTACACGTGCATCACCCTGAAGCTTCCCGCGCACCCTGTGTGAATACTTTTGTGTGTGTACGTGTGTGTGTGTGTGTATGAATGTGAGCGTGTGCGTATAGGCCTAATAAGTCAGGACACATTAGTTACACATCTATTATTCAAATTATCCATCCAGCAGCATCCAACTTAAGTCCACATACAGTGTGGTTTACTTGTAATTTGGAGAATGTAAGTTAATTATTGATCACCTCTTGACTTACTAAATAATATGTAATATGAGCAATCAAAGCTCGTTAAATTATTTAAATGACCATGCAGGGAAAATGAAGGGGCTCGTAATTTAATAGCCAGTATGGGACGTTGCTATATGAAGAAGCTATCTCAAATGTTTTGGCTGTGGGAAACTTAAAATTGACTCTGACCGAAGTGCAAAAAAAAAAAAGCTCAATGAAAACATTAATGAAGTAAATTTCTATTTAAAGGTTGAATTTCTGGAGAAAAGCAGCTGTCTTTTAAACATTACTTGAAAATTTAAAATGATCTCATGTGAATCAAATGTTTTTTTCCACTGAATACTTTAAGATAATGTATCATTTCATTTTTTTAAGAGTATAAATTTAGGTAATCCATTTTGATAATGGATAGTTCCCTTGTTAAAAACGTAATAGAGAGTGTATTGCTTTGTTTGGAAATTAAGGATACAAATAATAAATCAGGTGCAAAAAAACAAACAAGACAAAATACCTGATGGAATTTTTTTACCACACATAAGGAAAAAACAATTAATTGTTCCCTTACAGAGAACAATCATGCTCAGTTCTTTAAGATTATTATGTTTCCTTCTATATATTATGTCTCAATTGTTGATTTATTTTTTACTTTGCAGTTTGACTGTATATTTACTTTAACAATGTAATTATATTGTGTGTATGTACATAGGTATGATATGTAGATATAGATATATAGATATATATCTATATACACATGCTTAATAAAATCCCAAAAATTCAGGCACACATTTAAACAATCCTCTGAATGAATGCAATTTTTATAGTAAATATTCTCTAATCAAAAAAAGAAAAAAATCCTTTCCACTTAAAAAATGTGATCATTTTTCTGTCCATTGCTATTAAAATACACACACACATACTCATATACATGATATGTTAATTACATCGACAGATAAATAGGGAAAATTATCTTAATACATTCGCTGGGAATTTTAATTTCATCCCTCACACATTTCTAAATAGAAAACACTCACCTGCACACCGTCTTCTTCCCAACAACCTTATGTAATGTTACGTCTGTGTGTGTTTGCTGCTGTTGTGTCCCACGTAGGGCACGGAGGTGTGAACCAGCTCGGCGGGGTGTTTGTGAACGGCAGACCCCTCCCGGACGTGGTGAGGCAGCGGATCGTGGAGCTGGCCCACCAGGGCGTCCGGCCCTGCGACATCTCCAGACAGCTGCGGGTCAGCCACGGCTGCGTCAGCAAGATCCTGGGCAGGTGGGTGAAGACTCTCCGGCAAAGGTAGACCCCGAGAGCTCAACCCCTTTTTAGCCTCGTTTTTGTATTTCTTTGTATTTTTTTCGGTGGGGTTAATTGCGTTTTTAGTCATCCTAAAACATTGATGAGGTCCAGATTCCTTTGGGGGGTCACTGGCGTTTATGTGCGTAAAAGAAAACAAAATAAAAGAATAAAAAATCTCATGTGCATGTTATGTTTATCATCGTTGTTCCGTCAGTTTTGAGAGGACGCAGCTTTATCTGCCATGTTTTGTAACCTGTTTGATCTCGAGTAGAAGTTTGACTTTGAACGTTAACAAAAGTGCTTGTGCAACTTGGCTGCGCTCCAACGACTAAAAATAAAGTTTGAGATCACTCTTTATTGCAGATACTACGAGACTGGCAGCATCAAACCAGGGGTAATAGGTGGGTCTAAACCCAAAGTGGCCACGCCGAAAGTGGTGGAAAAAATCGCAGACTACAAGAGACAGAACCCCACCATGTTTGCCTGGGAGATCAGAGACAGACTGCTGGCTGAGGGCATCTGCGACAACGACACCGTCCCCAGCGTCTCATCCATTAACAGGTAGGAGGAAATGCCTGAAAATAGGGTTTTTATTTGTATTTTTTAAACGTTTTTGAATGAACACACAAAAATACTAAACGTATCCAATGTTAATGACTTATGCCGACGTGAGAACAAACTAAATAGCAGTCATCAGCACCTCATGAGCGCACCGCCACCCACAGCAGAATATTGTTTGAGCAACTTTGTGTTGCCCCTGCACGCCGACATGCCTGCGGTCTCTGAGGTGCAATTCAATCTTTCGGTCCGAACTCCCTCAACAATCAGCAGTACATCCAGGACTGAGTGAATCTGTCGAGATGAAAACCGATCAATATTCGGTGACCAGATCCCGTGGCGCTATAAAGCAGGCCAATTTTCTTTAGCACATCTAATGTGCAGGAGCAGCTGCACAGAGAGGGCAACGCTTCTTTTTTTTACACCTCCTGTAAGATCTTGCTTAACCCGACATCGAAATTTAGGTGAAAAATGATGTCATAATTTGCATCCATTTCTAGATGGCACGTCGCTGTTCGTGGCTTTTAAAGACAGTGAAGTTGTGGCGCTAAAACTTGAATTTCTGACTATTGTTTCTGGTTGAATCAGCCCTTTTCTGGTATGTTGAGTTATTCTTTGATATAGAAAAAAATCGTTAACAGTTTGAGAGCCAAGGAGAACCCAGGACGTCCCCAGAACCACCAGCAGAGATCCCTGGTGATGAACTTTGGTTAAGGTGCACTGTTCCATACAGCCAGCATCAGCATTACATTTTAATGAGCTGATGGGAGAGCGTGGACAGCTCCACACAAGACATCTTTTAAATAGAGAAAAGGCAGAGGAAAATTCATTTCATGCTTCGTGGCTGCTTAAAAAGCCCCCATTTAAGGGGGCTCAGACACATGTATGTGATCAATTCAAAATGTACATTAATATCATTAAAAGAACCTAATAAAGTTTCTCAATTCCAATTAAAGCTTGCTTTTTTTTTTGGCAAGATAGATGGGGGTGGGAGGCTTTATGTATCTTTATTTATGTGGGAAATTAAATTGTAGACACAAAGAGGTGTAATTCTATCAGCCAAATATGAAAGCAGCTTTAAATTTCCATTATTATATAAGGCTATTTTAGCCACAAAAAAAAGCTTTCTCTGTCCCTCCATCTTTAATCCAGAGCCACATATACATAGAGTACATGCGCATACACCCCTCAGCCATATACACACAATGGATCCTTCATACAAGTTAGGCAACATAAGTGTTTATTTGTATTTAACTCCTGGAAAATACTTGCATTTCTTTAAGTTTCTAAAGGTGCATTCTACAAAGAAATGAAAAAATAATTCTACAGTGTTTCCTTGGCCAGACGATTTGGCTACAGGTTTCAACTCAGCTTCATTAAAGATCAGCAGAAAAAGCCAGATGAGACAAAAAAAAAGAGGTTTTCTCTCCAGGTTCTTAAACGCTTACTCAGAGGAAGAAAAACAAAAATGCTGGAGCCAAAGTTTTTTCCAGTTGAATGGCTCTGACTGGGGCCAGTTGTGGGTTACTGTGGCAGACAGTTTGACCTCGGGACTGTTGACAAAAGAGCATACTTGATTTAAACACTTTTCCCCTGCATGCATTATTAAATCTTACAGAGATAGTGTTGTACTACACGTCAGACCCACCACAACTAACACTTGCTGCTGGACTGGGGGGAAAAAAAGGGTCCTCGATGACGCTCGATAGTATTGATTCAGAAGTAAAGCAATTTTAATATCTCTTCAGGGGATTTTCAGCAACAGCCGGGTCATTAATTCATTCTCCTAAATTGCTTACTCAATATGAGAAACATGGATACCAAATAAAGTCTTTGAATTTATGTTGCGCACACAAGTCATGGGGTCGAATAACTGTTATGGAGGAAAGTGAAAAAAATTAAAACATCAATATGCGCTCTCTGGGAAGGTGGATTGTTGTTAGGTGGCTTTGCCTCCAAGGGGAGTTTTCTTTGTTTTTTATTTGTGACACTGTCAGATGTATTTGGCCAAAGTCGGCCAGATATCTAATGGAAAAAAAAATCTGACGATTTTCTGGCTAATATAGTCCCGAAATATCGGGGACAAGTGAGCTAAATCTGAATCCAAAAGCCTGCATGTTCCTCAGCGGACCTCTCCCTAAGTAGCTCTGGTGGCATACATGATGAATAGTTTTAAAGTTTACAAATTATTGTGACAGCTCCCTTTCTCCCCAAGTGCCATTCAGATTAAAGGAATCTAATGCTGGCGTAAGCTTGTGCAAGGCAATAAGGAACTATTGCTTTCCTGTCACATATAATTTATAGCTTTCTATTTGCATCTGTTTGCCCGTGTGACTAATCCCCAACTTTTTCTCCCCGAGCCCCGATCAATACAACCTCATCCGCATTGACACATGGGGGCCACTGGTTCTGTTTGATCTGGGAAGCAAAGGGCTACTATAGGGCTGTGATCAGCCCCTGAGAAGCCCCCAGCGAAGGGGCGAGAAGGAGAGGGAGCTGATTAGTGTGGGCCAGGTAGAGTCAGTGAAGCTGATCATTGAGGTGAATTGATGTGATTTCATGCTTTGTTTGCAGGATCACTCAGACCAAAAAGTGCAATGAAGACTTTTCTCTCGACCTCACCTTTAAAACAGAGCCACTAGCCGGAATTTTGCTTGTGCATGAGTTACATTCAATGTCCGCTTCCCTACAATTTCGCCCTACTAGCTGGAGGTCTTTAACGTACGCTTTTCCTTTTTTGACCAGGATCATCAGAACAAAAGTCCAGCAGCCTTTCCATCCATCTCCAGATGGGTCATCGCTGTCAGCGCCAGGCCACACAATTGGTAAAACAGCAGCACAACACAAACTAGATGTGTGTATTTGTGCAGTCATTTTGCAGTTAAAGGTGGCTAATCTTTTTTTTTTTTTCTGCCATTCTTTTAGTACCAAGCACAGCCTCACCACCTGTAACCAGCGCCTCCAATGACCCTGCGGGATCCTACTCCATCAATGGGATTCTGGGCATTCCACGATCCAACGGTGAAAAAAGGAAAAGAGATGACGGTAAGAGAATATTTCTTTTCATAGACTAAAAAAGAAAAAAGAAAAAAAAGGATTCACAGGAGAAAATGTCTAAGACGCTGAACAAAAGCAGTTCCTTTCAGCTTCACCGTTATAAAACTCTCCTTGCTGAACTTGCAATTACAGTGTTCAAACCTAGTCCAGTTCCAGTGGATGACCCTTATAAAACACCTAAGTCTGAACTCTGTTACATTGCTGTGTCAACCTGCCACTGAGTCTTTTGATTTGAAGACACGACCTCCGCTGTTGTCTCCTGCAATTAATCTTTATGGAAGTGATTAAAGGGCTTTAGATAATTACATGTCAAGATGATGTAGCCAACCACCCAGGTCAGTCAAGAAAGCCGCTATAGCTCTGTGGAGGACTTTTCTCTTTTTTTTTTCACCTCCCCAGCAAAAGTGGCTCCACTTCTGCTGCTGTTAGTGGGTATAAGGAGGCCTGAGGCGATATAGATTATTGGTTCTGTAAGCAATAGGCTTCCATAATGCTACGACATAAGAAGCTGATGAGAATAGCTAAACAGATGCACTCATGTCGCATGGCGTGCATGGGTATGGAGGGATGATGTGGCTGCTGAAAAGGAGCAGTTATCTCAAACAGGGTGGGGAATGAGTGCCTTATTTCTGCCGTTCTCCGGAATGAGAGCTAATCAGAGCACGGCAGCAGTTTACATAGCGTCTTCTTTGTTCTGCGTTTGTTGGGGAAGCAAGGGGTTTGTGGGATATTGAGTGGAATTGATGTTTTATGTGCGTGTGGGGAGGGAGGGATGACTAATGACCTGTCAGAGGTAGATTTCCTGGCAAAGATATAAAAACCAGCATGACGTGGACATGGCAAATGACATAATCAAGTCTTTCCCTGTAAGAGATGCAATCGCGGGGGCATAATGCAAACGTCTGGTATTTTCAAGGGTTCATTTTCAGTCGTTCGAGGACCTCTCATATTAGCCAGGGTGTAATGTCTAGTCACTGAATGATAAAATGCACACATTTCTATGCAGATTGCTACTGAAGGGCAAAGAGGTATTAAAGGGCATGGGGAGGAATAAGGCGTGTGTGTGTGAGAAACGGAGCTGGCCTGTTTTGTGGAGGTCCTCCAGGTGACAGCGCCATGTTTCTACGGCTATTCAGTCTCAAATGATTCCCTTGATGTGCTGCCATCTCTGTGATTTAGGTGCTCGGGCAGCATTACGACGAAAGAGAAAGAAAGCTGAGTGTGTGCGTGCGCGTGAGAGTGGATGCGTGCGTCGGTGTGTGTTGGCATCAAGGTAGACTCGTACTGAGAGGGACGGGGGAGCTTTAGGTCTTATATACTTTCTACAGCAGCCAGGTGGTGCCTACCCGGAACCACAGGGTCACAGATACTTTATCTTTCCCAAACATAAACCTCAGGTCTCTGCCACACAAACGCACACACGCACACACGCACGCACACACGGCTGTAAAAGCGATGTCTTGCCTCAAGCCACGGTTTTTAAGAATGCTGTATTACGTAGGATGTTACCCTGTAGACACAATTCTACTCTTAGTGTCTTCTCTTAAGGTGTACTTTTACCAAACAAAACAGCTGAATTTGAAGGTGTATCTTCCAATGAGATTTTTAGTGCTATGCGAGCACAAATCATTTTGTTGTTTTCGAATAACATTTATGCTCCAGTCTCCAGTTTGTGCAGTGTCTCTCCGAACAAAGAAATTCCGGACACATTTTTTTAAATTTCTGCCGCCTCTTTGATCGTGCTAAAACCCGAACACTATAAAATCAAATCAGCTTTGATGAAATTTGTTTAAATGAAAAAAATTATAATAAATGTCCTCAAGTTCATTTGGTCAGACGCGGTATGCCATAGCTAACATGAAGCCTTAGCTTATTTTGGGGAAAACGGTCACAAAATAAGAATCCAAGTTTCTTTTTAAGAGGCCTCGACTCTTCACATTCACTCGTTTATTCAAGATTTTCATAGAAAATCAAGACTCTTAATCATTCATTCCAATTTTTTTTTTTACCTCTTGTTTTGAATGTGGAGCATTTTAGCCTAAGCGCTTTTTTTTCTTACCCCACAACTGTAAATATTTTTGGCAATGTCTGAGCCTCACCATGTATTTCATGCCTAAGACAAACAAACCACAGTGAACAACTTGTTGGACAACATCTGGACTTGAGCCTCATTTCCTTCCCTGTCAGTCAGTAGTGTAATGACACTAGCTTTCCCCGACCTGCTCATGCTGCCTTCTCAGCGTTTGATGGTTCTGTAATATCCTATTTGTGAAAAATATAAGCATGTTATTATTTGCAAAAAGAAAATGCGGGAGCGTAATTTGTAGCCTTGACAGTGTAGTATTTCACTTCATTTGTGCATGACAGTTTGGTATAACACAAGTCCAGAAAATGCCTTTTATTGTAATACCTCTGTAGACTGTATTGTTGAATTTATCGCACGATCATTTGGGAATAATGCTTTAATTTATATGGATTTTTTGTTGTTTTTGTTAACCTTTTCCTCTCAGTGATGTCTTTTTTCTATTCAGATGTATTTTGTTTCACTCAGTAGTCTATAGTCAGTTAATGCTTGATTAAATTTCTTTACTGCACAGTAGTTTGCCTGAGCCCTATTTAAGTTAGTAAGCCTCATGATTATTATGGGCCAAGCAGTCATTATCAAGAGCTGGAAACATGAACAAAAATGAAAGAAGGAAAGGAGGATAAGGGTTGGGGGTGAGGGTGAGTGATGTGGATTGGCTGTGCATTGCAGAGTATTTGTTCAAGGCAGCGACTGTGGCTTTCTGCCAAACAGGCGGACAGCTCCTAAGTTTCCAAGTCAGCAGTGCCCTTAAAAAAAGGGTCCCCCCCATTACAGGAGGGATGTAGAGATAATTTAGTGTGACACGCGTTATGTACACTGGGTCTCGGCAAGAGGAGCTTCAGGGACACAGGTGTCATAAGAGCCATTAATCTACTATTGTCACGTGTTATTGCAAATTAAATGTAGCATGTTACACTTGGCAGCCATTGTTGCAGATGGACAGTGTGGGAGTGCAAGCGAGACCCCTGGAGATGGTGTCTTTGGTGACCACGGCTGTCCACAGGTTTTACAAATTGACATATACTAGAATTTGCATTTCTGTGGAGAAAGGCTATTACCTCACAGATTAACATCCAAGTAGCCCACAGCCCCCCCCCCACCCCTGCTGCCTCCCACCACCCCCACTGCTCCTGACACTGAAGGCCTCAGAAAAGACAAAGGAGAGGCTTTAACTGCCCCTCGCTGAGAGAAATCATAAGAGCATTAGGATGTTTAAGTACAAATGTGCATTTGTGGGTGTTTTTGTCCGCGTTGGTCTTTAGTGAATGAATGACAGAGCTGAACTGACCTGAGCAGCCGGCTAGTGGATCTGTTGAGAACGCGCAGCGCCCATGAAGTGTGTCCACTCTTTCAAAGTCATATCACACATCCTTTCAGTGACTCACAAATTGCACAATCAGAGCAGTAGATGACAATTAATTTCAGCCAGTCTGAGCACTGTCTTGCCTTTTGAAGGGCTTTCTTCTTCTTTTTTTCTTTTGATTCATGAGAAAAAGAAAAGGGGAGAAATTTTTATGATAAGATGATCATCGCATATTTCAAAAGACAACAACAATAGCCAGTGGCAGTCAGAATGGATGCGATTCTGTGCTCCAGTAGCTGTTGAATTAATTATTTCTCATCTCTTAGTGTCATGAGGACTGAAGTGATGCGTGTGGATGGAGATGAGTGATGGAGCAGGACACCGTCACACCGGGCTCTGTGTATGAGCATCTGTTTTGGGGGAAAAGCAAGAAACAACACAGGAACTCAGAGCAGCAAAATGTCAGCACCTGAATTCAACAATCCAAACAAGATTGATAAAGACTTTAAAAGCTTGGCAGCGTCACAGCAAATTAACGGCCAACAGTCGCACCACTCTCTCCAAATCTTGGAAGCAATCAAAATGTTAGTGGGTAAATGATTATGTTTTATCCATAAGAATCTTAAAACCTACAAATCTTTTTTTTTTAAGAGGTTGTTAAGTGTTCTCTTAGTGGATACATTTTCCATAAATCTAGAGAGAAATTGGTAACCAGGTCCCTTTAAACACTAATGACAGGTCTTTGGTGACGCTGAACAAACGTTGTAGATTCCAGAGACAGTATTTCATTCATGTTTACATAATCAAAACATTCAATTAGAAAGCTGAAATGCTGCTGAGTTAATCCAAATTGATGCAAATGAGTTTTAATTTAATTCTATTTAGCCCAGAATTGAATCGAGCGGGAAATGGTAGGGGTGTAGTTTCTGTGAAATACATAACAGTGCACTACGGGAATATTTGTTGACATGTTATTCAAACAAAGAGCCTTGTGGGTGGGTGCAAAAGTGGGGAGTGGGAACAAGTTCATTCTTCTGAGGGGGGCTTTCGTGACCTCAAGGTGCCGGCTCAACTCCGTGCGCCTCCAACAAGAACATATATCCTCAATGTTCAATCACAGGGTTTCCAAAATTGCTCTTTTCCTCTTTTTTGTGACAGGCTTTCAGAGAAACCTTCTACTCAGTCCTCACCTCATACGCGATAATTGTTCCGGTTTTGTTTGGCGGGTATTTGCACAGATTCAACATAGTCCTGAAGAGTTGTGTTGGCTGAAGGCTCCTGCTGGGGGTCGTGACCTGTGGGTGCCAAACCCACAGAGAAGAGTCCGCTTTATAGAGCTGGTTATCTGATCTGATAGAGACTACTCCCTCGTTACCAGAGTGTTAATACAGACTGATGTCAAGATGAATGCACTCAGTGCCAGAGATGATCAATAAATGACCACGGAGCGGGACAGCCATGTAACACATCAACAAAGCCAATGTGGTCAAAGATTGTTATCACTGCTGCATAATGGGCTGATTTGGGAATGTCCAAACAATGGGTCTGACTCCTTTAAAGAGGATAAATGGTCGTGGACACCTCCAGGATACTGAGCGCCGCCTCAAAAAGTGGAATAATGTGAAATAATAATGAATATTTGTGACCACGGTTTCAGTACCATAAAAAAAAAACTCCACTAACCTTTTTTTTTCCAGGATAGCATGGATGAGGGTTGCCTAAGTTTGACTGCAGCTCTATGTAGTACACAATTTACACTAAAATTATTTCTAGAATAGAAAACAATTATTAAGAATACCAGACGTCGACCCATCTCCTGCAGTTTTGAGTGCAGGCCCACTGGGAATACCAGTATAGTCCAACCAGACCAAATAAAATCAAAACTTTGTTATCGGAATTTTAATAATGATCACATTTGTTTTATAAGAAGCCAACTTTGACGGTCAGTATGAGATGGAGGGAAACAAACACTGGAGTGAGATGTTAAAGCACGGGTCTTTAATGCACAAGATGAATAATTTCCACTAACAACAGATCTTTGTAATCTAATTAAGGATATTTTATTGCTCGTTTGAATTAATTTAATTTGTTTAAATGTATTTCACAAGGCTTTCATTTTTCTTTTGGGACAAGCCTCTGAACTCTTTACCGTTGCAGTGATTTTAGGAATCCTAGTAGCAAAGCTTCATAAATGGGATTAATTCAGATTAGTGTCATCTTCAATCTTGCAATCTTGTCGGTCGAGAGGAGGGCAGATGGGCCTGTCTTCAGTTTGACTGGGAGGAAGAGTGTGTAGGTTGACCTAGGATGGATTGTCTTGTGTGTGGGAAGTGTATTCCACAGTGGTGAATGACAAATATAGTGGGTTGGGGGTGGTATTGATCAAGTGTTGTGGCTTAGGGTGGCTGATGGAAAGTAATTAATGACTCCATTTGCTTTGGTAGCAAATAGAACAATTGAGTCTGATAAAGTGACACACAGGAGCAGTAGAGCCGTGCAGAAAATATGCTGAACACTCACCTGATTGTGTGTCACCACAGCAAAGATAAGAGCTGTTGCTTCTATCAGCAGCGTTATATTCTAAAAAAGTAGAATTTTAGGGGGAAAAAAAAGAAAATTATATTTCGTTGAATACATACTTTTATATGGCTCCAGGTTTTTGTGTTTTAATCAGACCTGCTAGCTTTTTTATACTAAACAAATGTGCTTTTGTTGAATGCGCAGACATGGTCTTGATATTTTCCTCAAACTCAGTAAAACAAGAGCTAAACCATATTCTTCTATATTTCACTGCTTGCAGGTCCCTCAGTCTTGAGGGTTGAAGGCTCTCCCCTCTCACTGTCCTGCATCCATAAGTTCTTGTGTTTTGCTACCATTTGGGGGCACTCATAAGAATGTGTGACCGTGTGAGCTGTGGGCTGTTCTTAGTTATGTTAGGGCTGATGTTGTTCTGTTAGCTTTGCTTTTCTATAGAAAAGAAAGAAGTCAAAGAGGACAAAGATCTGCTTTGTGTTAAAGTGAAACTGAATACATCCATGATGGCATAAAATGGTTGCCAGTCCTGTCCCAAGGAAAAAAAAGTTTTCATTTCATTCATCAAGAAGTTGCTAATATGTACAATATAAACAATTCACAGTGGGAGGAAGACTTCCACCGAAAAAACAAACAAACAAGCAAACAGGGGTCAAAGGCGAGACAAAATTGAGATGATACTGTGATTTCTGCATGCTCGCTGACACCAAAAGAAATGCATTGAACATAGCTGGTCAGAATTGTGAAATGGGAGGATGACAGATGGTTTCATTAAACCTAAGTATTCCTAAACACAAAATTAAACATTGGTAACATTCAGATTTCAATTCGCAAATCGTTGCACATAAAGTTAGAATCAGTTCATTGTCAGACAGATTCCTGTTTTTATTCCTATACATGTCAATAACACAAACCTTTAGCGAGGTTCATGAATAAAGTGAGAACGTATGTGCTTTATCATATAAGAATAAATAATTTTGTCACAATCTTTTCATGAGAAGAGATGAAAAAAATATTTTATTCCAACTATTCAAAACACATAAATAAAGCAAAGTTTATAAAAAGAGAAAAGGCACTGTTTGAAATGATGAAATCAAAAATATAAGGGTTTAAAAAGAGACATTCAAATTATATTCGGTATTGTTTAAAAAAAAAAAAAAAAAAAATATATATATATATATATATATATATAGAAATTTTAAACGGCAACCTAATGGACCTTGGGATTATACATATCAAACTAGAGAAACATAATTCATCATTTCATGTATTTGTAAAATTCAAACCAGTACAAATAGGGACTTCCTTATTTTTGCAACCTTCAGCAAATTGTCATCTTATACACACTTGTATGTGTCACACACACACCTTCACACATTCTCTTTTATAGCTCCTTCAACTCCCCTTTGGAGGGTAGGGTTCATCCTCTGGCCTCAGCCTGTGAAAAAAGGTCAACCAGCAGAATAGAATGGCAATAACCCTCCCAAATGGTACTATCACACAGACATGATTGATCAATTGAATTCCATGGCAGAGAAAAATGTGGGATTAAGTAGAGTATTATACGCACAATGAGTTGAGGCATGATGTTCATTTCAAGTTCATTTCAGCTCCCTCTTGCCACCAGATCAGGCAATCAATAGCGGGCCTTGCATATCATATATCACCACTCTCCCAGTGAGGGGAGAACATAATCTGCCGCAAATTTAGAATGACAGATTTGTAAGGGAGCTGAAGCTTTCTGGGATACGGGGAGGGGACCTACAGACACAGCCACTGCAGCTTGGAGAGGTGGGGGTGCGGTGGAGCTGGGCTGGTGACGGATGGAGGGAGGGGGCTGTGGAAGGACGGTCTGTAAAGGTTTTAAAGCTTCGCACACAACAGAAATAAGCTAAGGCATCCTCCTCTCAACAGTCGAGTAATCAGGTCAGGAGTCGGGAGAAAATTCCTGTGTTTGGAGAGCGGGATGATTGAACTAGACTGTACAATTTTATTCAGCCGCTTGTTCTCTGCCGCTGCTTCCAAATGGAGCCACATGCTCGAAGAGAATGAAAGCAGAATTGAATTGTGAAAGGGAAATTGTGCTGTAAAAAAACAAGAACACTTGATTCCAGTGAACATCAGGGTTTTTTGGGGAGCAGAAAAGAAGGCAGAAATCCCCCTGGTGGAATGCAAAAACACCATAATGGGCTGCTTTAACCACCGCACACGTTTACTACAACATATATTTCCAAGCAAGTGACGGTGATCCATCAATTACCAGAAAGCTTTCGGATCACGATGGTGTTTATTCTGTGGCGGCATAAACGTCTGTGATCTAGCCGGTGGCTCACCAGAGCCATTGAGGTGGAGAAAAACCTCCACTCCATCCCTTTCTATCCTCAGATCCCCCACAGATGTGCCACAGAAAATACATGAGGAGAATATAAAGTGCATAGCTTGAAGTAAAGGCCAGCTTCCCGGGGTCAGTGTCTCGAATGTTGCTCTTTCTTCTTGTAGATGGTTCAGATGGTTCTGGCCCAAACAGTGATTCTCAGGGTAGTGTGGAGAGTTTACGGAAACACCTGAGGGCGGATGCCTTCACCCAGCAGCAGCTGGAGGCATTGGACCGGGTCTTTGAGCGTCCTTCGTACCCCGACGTCTTCCCCACACCGGAGCATATCAAGCCAGAACAGGTTAGTAGTACCAGGATTTTTACCATCTCTGTTTTTTTCTTTCAAAGCTGTGTGCGCAGTGCTGATACTAACACACCAATGAAAACACAGTTCTGTCACAGATATCCCGAGCCTTACCCAGAAACAAAAGCTAATTAGCCATCTGAGATGGCTAAACACTGGATTACAGTCCAAGCATGTATAATGCTGGAGGGATCACAAGGAAAACCTGCACACATTATTGATTTTGTGATGAAAAACACGTTCCTTGCACCCGCTGTAATTGAGAATAACAGTAAAGCAACATGAAATTAATCAATATCTAAATTTTCTTCATTTTTTTTGCCATGTTATTCCGTTGTTCCTTTCTATCTATGATGTTTATTTTTCATTTCTTCCACATATCCTTACTTGTTAAAACTGATCTGGCTTTGAAACCTTTTCTGTAATGTCATGGCATAGATGTATGAAAGACTGCAAAAAGCCTCAATCTATTCCAAGTCTTGATATTAAGAATGGACTTGCCATCCATCCTCATTTAAAAAATTAAGAGGCCTCTTGGAAACAGCTACCCCCACACTAAAAACGACAGCCTGAAACCAGTGCTTATTAAAAGCTCTAGGCTTATTACAATGGATAACCTTTATTTACTTTCATTATACTATTAAACAACAAGAGACTATTAATTTCTCCCACAAACTACAAGTCAGACCCATAAAGCAAAAGCAGTCACCTAATTGAGTTCATTTTAATTTCTCTCCAATCGGGGCGAATTACGCAGGTGATAAATCAGTGGGACAGGCCTCACCTCCAGAAGAGGGCCTAATTTGCAGCTAATTACAAAACTGATTTCTACTGGAAGATCAATACCAAAACGAATTGGAAATGACTTGCAATCACAAAGAGCGTCAGGGAGAGTATTAAAAGGCAGGGGGAAAGGGTTACACCAAAAAAGGGGGTGAGAAAGTAAGAAAAAAGAAAGGAGGCCAGAAACAGTCCAGAAAAATCAGCTTTAATTTAGTGCAATATTAATCAGAGCACTTTCCCTTTCATGGGTGCCTGGTGTTTTTTTTTCCTCTTGGAAAATGTGGCCCTATTAGCCAGTGTCTGGGTTCTGTAGCAAGGCATTAAAAATCCATTCTGGAGATGCAAAACTCAATGGATTCACCCCTCCCACACTTCTGCTAGCCATTTGGTCATCCTTTTCAGCCCTATCTTTTCAGCTTTCCCCCTCCTGCCCTGTATCTGCATGATAAAACGTCTGTTTGGCGTCTGAGGCCTGCGAGAATAGAGAAAAACATCCGACATTGTGCCAGTGAACAGTTGTAGCAGACAATTAGAGTTTATCTGTGATAGTGGCAGACAAGAGTGGGGTCACAGGCGTCCCCCTGTGGGAGCGTGGCCCACTGAGCCACTCACACTGGGCTTTGGAAGAACACTGTCAACACTCAGACTCCGGAAGTCACATCTCATTAAAAGAAAAAGCTGCTGGCATCTGCCATCAGTGCCAAAGCGCATATTTACAAGAAGAAACATGACAATGAAAATGGAAGAGATTATTTCTTCGACTGAGTTTTTTCTGAAGATGTATTTCAACATACTGCAATCATTTATTGTTTTCATAAGAAAACATAATTAATTAGGCCTTCTGTGCCAAATTATCATTTTGTGCTTATATTTTCATACAATCTAATTGAACAGGGATAATTCTGGGGCTCAATATCTAACCTAAAATGTTTACAGGCTTTGTCATGTTAGTTCCTCTAAAAATACTTCATGAAAACAGCATTTTTAGTCTATTTTGCAGTGTGCAATCATGTTTTGTTTTTAAAAAAAACAACAGGTCAGTACAAGTGTCTTCACCAATGTTAAAAAATGTAAACTCAAAGCTAGTGAAATTAGCATGATTTAAGACATATTATGTCCTTTTTTTAAAAACATATTCATTTGCAATTTTACCAGCCTCATTTAATCTCTCTGAGATAATTGAGAAACAATGTCACTTGATGTAATAAAACGGTAAATCAACTTTAAAAACATCAATGCTAACTCGATACAGTTAGCATACAATTTAGTTTTTAGAAGCTGCTTGTCATCGTGAGCTTTATTCAACATTCCTCTACCCAATTTATTTCTTTTTTGTGTTCTTAAGTAGATGAACTTGTGTTATAGAACCAGAATATGAATGCAAACATGGGAAAACCCTAGATAAGAGGTAGGAGGCATTGAAGTCTAAAGAGAGATTTTAGTCTTCAACTTAAAAGTAAAAACGAAGAAAAATAAAGTGAATGGTGTTTCTCAAACAGGACCACATGGTGTGTCTGTAACAAAGCAGAACTGCTTTCTCCCTTGGCTGATCAGGGGTACGACTGCAGTCAAGCACAAAAGGCCAGCTGACGCCTTGGCTTTTCACTCATCTCAAAATCCCACTTCCTCTCAGACAATACCGAAATACATTCATGATATGCTTGAACTGCCACCCTGCAGCAGGAACGCACACACAATGCTCTCATACAAATTTATACCCACACAAGCCTGTGTGGAGAGCCTAATGGAGGAGGAGAAAGGAGGATTTCCATCTAGGTATTGTTTGGTTGTGTAATGATTCAACTGTCCTTTTCCCAGGCTAATGAGTACTCGCTCCCTGCCCTGAATTCCAGCCTGGACGAAGTCAAGCCCAGTTTATCCTCTAGCGCCAACCCAGACTTGGGCCCCAGCGTGTCGCAAAGCTACCCTGTAGGTAAGATCAACTGCTATACAGTACGCCTTTATGCTGCCAAGCCACAGCTTCAGCTGAGGGGGTGTGAACAATGTAAAGCAGCACGACAGCCAATGCTAAACGTGGCAACGGCAAAACAAATGAAATGTGTCCACAATAAAGACAAAGCAAAAATTGAAGTGTGAAGACATTTTTTAATACCATTTCACTCTGAGCTGAAAAGGTGGTGCGATGACGCAATAAAAGCTGAGCAGCTGTCCTCCATCGGCTTTTTCTGCTGAGCAAGCGGGGGCATTAAGAGAGATTTGGGGCTGTTCAGTCACTGCTGGACAAGGACCCTTGGGTGTCAGCACATCAGAACTATGACTGTGTATCAGAGCAAGGTCTCTGAAAAAAAAAAAAGGGGGGGAAAAAAGGCCTCCACGCAGGGGTGAGTACTCGCTGGCTGCTGATGCGTTGCTCTTACGATTTGTCCGCCAGGAGACAGTTTGTGTGTCTCAAAGCAGGAGTAATGTGCCTCGGTAAATACGCTCTGGCATTTCTGCCGCCTAACTCTAACACCATGATCATTTATTTCACCCTCCTATTGCTCCCTCTCCCTGTTTCTCCCCCCTAGTTGTCTCCTCTCCTTGTCACAGTTAATGACTGCCTGGCTAATTGAAATATTGTTCCGTTGTTGCAGTGTTATTATCAAGAAGAAGGTTAAGTTTACTGAAAGTTTACGATGACTGTCGGGTGCCTGAGATTAATATACAGAGCTTTTATTAAAATTCATATAATTATGCAGCAGCCATCAAAAGCAACGAGGTCTGCATGGGGGGAGGACAGGGTGATTGAAAATTGCCGCAGCCCTCCTTCTCAAATGATAGCTGAGCAGCCTTATGAGAAAAGAAAGGGCCCTTTTCTCATTTAATATGTGGGAGGTAGATTTCCCCGTGTAAGGCAGGCCTCCTGAGAAGAAAGGTGTGTGTTTGTCCTTTGTGCGCGGATGGCCCTGTAGAAAGCGGGCCTGGCTGTGCAGGCAGCTTTGTTTGCACCTGGGATATTTTAGATGGCCTCTGCAGAAAGCCCAGCCTCGCTGCTACACAGGTGCAAACGGACGTCCAGAAAAAGAAAGATGGGCTTGTGTGTGATGGGATATGTGTGTGTGTGTGTGTTTGTGTGTTTGAACGTGAAAAGCTGTAACTTTTGCGTGAGCGAATAAGTTTATTCCGTGCCCTTCTCTGCTGGTAGATTTCACCAAGAAATATGGAGGTCAAACTAATGGAACAAACATCACTCTGACTTGCACTTGGTAATTACTATTTAGTTAGTGGCTCCTCTGCTTGGTTTTCCCTCAGTGGCTGCCTGTGTGGATAATATTCAGGTGTGTGGTCTTTCTAATGGCTGAGTATTACAGTTTACTTGCCAGCGATAAGCTTACCAGAGGAATTTTAAGCCATGCAAAAAGTAGTAAATTATCAGCAGTATTTAGGCTGAGATCCAATTTCAAATTAATTGTGTCTTTACGGAGGAAAGAACTGGAGATTATGCTCATCCTTAAAATGTTTCTGGAACACCAATTAAAACGTCCGCATTTATTGATCTTGTTGATGTTTTGCCCTGCTAATTTGCATAATCTATTAAAGATGAATGATTCATGAAGTGCTCAGTGCCAGAGATCGGGATTTTCAGTGAACTGAAAGAGTTCGGAGATAAAAATCTTTTATGTCCTCTGCTTATCCTATTAAGGCTCAAAAGTACCTGCAGAGCAGGCTCAAATAAGAAAGGGATTTAAGGGCATTGTGCATATCATCGAAATTCAGAGGCAAGAAGCCAGTTCCATTAAAAGTGTTTTTTTTTCCCCCTCCGCCTCCTCCACATTAATGCAGTATTACCTGCTAAATAGTCCCTCTTACCCCATAAAAACACCAAAGGGTTCCATGAATATGTGGAAAGGACAATTGCATATTGTGAGGTAATTTCTATTGTTGATATGGGAAGTAATTTCTTTGATGAATTCCCTCCGAGAGATGGATTTCATCTCAAGTGCTTCTTATTCTGTTCAAATTCAAATTCAAATAGAGTGGGCCGCGGGTGAACCCGTGAATGGTGGAAGGAGGAGCTCGGAACTTTTTTTTTTGTGTATTTTGAGAAATAAATGGAGCGATGGCTTCGATACAGCCAATTGTCCAATATTTGAAAGGAGAGTATCAGTATTTTCTGAAAGCAGTCGGAGCCCACCTGTTTTCTTCTTGCTGCTTCAGACTCTAGAGTCATCTTGAGGTGGTGAACGGTTTCCCTTGGGCTTTTAGTGGGAGTTTTACACATCTCTTCCTGGTGACTGCTAGTGACTGAACGCTCCTGTGTCAGTAGCACCTTTCCCCCCTCACATGCAACTGTGCGCTCTCTCCTCTTACTGCTATGGTTAAAAAAACAAAACCTCAGCCGGCAAATTAAACATTCGGTAAAGGTGACGGTGAGTGATCCCAGGGCGAGCTTCACAGAAAGTACGGAGACCCGCTGTTGTCCAGTGAGCAGCGAGCAACGATCAGACAGCGAACCCGCCATCCATGATGTGTGGCCTCATGACAAACCGCTGGCGTGCCTTCCCACGGGGGCGAACGCAGGCTTCGAAATTAATGCTCATTTCGTCTTCACAAAAGCAAACTAACCTTTGAGCACACATTTGATAATGAATGACTTTCAGTCGACGTTTGGGGAATTAAAGCAATTTGGCTCTCCAAACATTCTTTACTTAGTTGTAATTAATTAGGGTGCTGAGATTTTTTGGCTGGTGATAAATTGCCCCATTGTGCATATAGCCCAGAAAATGGAGGTCAAAGATTTTTGGTTGTTGTTGTAGCAAACATGAAGGTGTCCCTGTCATGCTAAATTTAATACTCTTGCAAGCGAAAGAGTCATTCACAAATGACTTTGTTCGTGTGCCAAATTAAAAGGTCACCCTGCTTTTCTTTTTGTGTGTTAGGAATCAGAGCTGATATCATTCAAAGAGCGGGGAATCGTCGTTGTGGGTCAAGTCAAAACCTATGAATCGAGTCGATTTCTTTTATGTGATAACTGTGGCACGACCATGTGGCTCAAACAATCCCGTCATGCTCAACCCTCAAACAGGCCTGTCAACAGTCAGATAATTCATAGCAATCCGTAGTTCCAGCTTGGTAGTAAAAGACAAGAGTAGATCTTCTCTACTTGAGATGGAAATCAGCAGGCTTTTGTAACAGCAAACCAAAAAAATTCTTTGAATTGACTTTCACAGGGGAGAGAAAAAGAGGTCAGAGGAAAATAAATAGCTTGATTTGCTGGCGTTCAATCTAAGAGGGCTGTCAGAAGAAGCAGACAACATAAAGAAGGCCATCTTTTAATGAGAATCTGGACACACATCTCTGTTGTAAAAACAACAAAGGCTAGGACGCAGCTAATGAGGCTATCATTGCTGTACAGAGAGTCCTCTGAATCTGCGCCTCTCTGAAAGAGGGCTTTAAAGGGGATATAAAGCAACAGTTACAGAGCTGCTGGCAGCCACCGCCGACCAAATGTACAAAAACAGAATTCATGCTGTTATGATGGCAAACATTCTCCGTACACCTGTGTCCATTAGACTGCTTTTCTTTTACACATGAACAACGGTTTAGTGAGTTCAGCTTTAAAAAGTTGACTCTGGTCTCGGAGCAGAAGTTTGCATCTTACTCACGCTATTTAAGGTCAGAATGAGGGGGAAAGTTTCCATGATTCACTGATTGGTAGGACATATACTGATAAAAAGACTGACCCAAAAGAACCACAGTTGTTTAGTCATTCGGTGCCTCCAAAAGAAACAGATGAAATCTGGCAAAAATATCCTGGAACTTGCGTTACCTTTCTGTGGAATGCTTTTTTAATTTTTTTTTTTATAATATTAAGAGGATATGAGATTAGAGCTTGCAGACTGTACAGTTAAGAAAGAATTTCATTAGTCTTTATGTGCCTCGGAAGTTAATGAAGAGATAAGAGTATTTACTTTTATTAAACATCTGAGACAGCTGGGGCTTCTGCTATGATAATGAAGAATAAGGTAGGGTCAGTGTTTGCAGAGGCAGTCAGACAATTGTGACCAGTGTCTTTACATACACTTTCATACACAATGGCCTCAGCCCTGCTGGACCCCCCACTACAGTACTCCCACAGCTCTTTCTTACTTATGTGCACTGGCTTGTGGCTAACTAATTCTTCTTAGAAATGCAAGGACCGGCATTACCTCACTTGTCTCCGTGCAGCTCTTTACCAGGCTCCCCTTGAGTCTCCAGCCTTTAATCAGAGACACATTCCACATGCGTCCATATAGCGCAGCGCTGCTGACAGCAGACAACACTGGCTCAGCACGAGACGAACACGTCTCTTCATCAGACACTTCGAGATCACTAATGGAAATTTACACTTTTAACAGTGTTTTCTTTTCTACTTCTGATAAAAAATCTACCCAAAACAACCAACTGACAAATGTCTGGTGACTCTGTATTAGAAGAGCGTGTTACCTCATGAGGATAAAAGCGTAGTTTCAGTTTAAGATATGGCACTTAACATAAAAACACGAAGTAACAATTCCTCAAGTGATAGTTATGTGTAGATCTGTGTCTTCGCATCAGACTGTCACATTTCTCGAACCGGTCTGTATGAGGTAACGCTGCTGACTTTTATGACTTGGATATCGCTTTCGTTTTAAAGGTGTGGCAAACCAGCATGTTTTGCTGGGTCAAACTCTGTTTGTTACTTCTATGGCAGCACATGGTATTTTTTCGGCATTATATGATAAGTCTTGTTTTTTTAAATACTTCACAATGTTAATGTTCAGGTCACGAATGTCAAAAATTAAGTGAATTAACCATTTCAAGTTAATTTTCCAACATAAACTGCGTTATGTTCATTTCTCACTATATTCTTTTCACCTCTAACTTCTTCCTTGCGTAGTACGTTGTGTAAAGAAGTGCGGTAGAATACATGAACATGAGCAAAACAAACAACTGAGGGCAAATATTCCCATCTGCCTGTTTTCACATATCAATGACAGCATGTAAACCAGGACAGGCAGAGTGACAAAACCAGAGTCAGTATCACCTGAAAGTAACTAGAGCAGCAGGTAGAAAATAAAAACATCCATGAACAAAAACACATCACTCAAAAGCAACAAAAAAGGAAATAACACACAGGAAACCCATAGTCATCCCTGACTCACTCCTTTCATACATGACAGAGCCAAACAGAACCTCCATCCCCACACCTGTGACTCCTCCTGTTTTGCTGACATCCAGGCCAAAAACTCTACTTTTTTTAACAGATTGCCTCCACACAGCCCAGCTGTCATAGCCAATATAAAAAAAACACATCGCATTCCAGCTTTTAGTAGGCAAAATATTTTTTTCTAGAGTTGAATATGTGTGGACTTCTCTTTTTAAACCTCTTTTGTGCCGTCATTAGCTGTGTTGGCAGGAGAACAGTGAGTGTTGTCAATATCATCGGCCATATAAAACGCTATGATCATCTGTTGATGAAGTGTAGTTTTCTCAGTTTAACAAAAGAAAATATTTAATTAGAACTACACACTCACAAACAGTCGCTCTGAGCAGTCAGGTCCAGTGGTAATTATGAAATAGGCAGGAAATGGAAATACAGTTTTTACTGTAGATGCACAAAATGCACAATTTGTTCCGAGTCATTAGGCTTGTCTCATACAAAACTCAGTATTCTCCAGTTCAAAAATCAAACCAGATAGTTTTGTTACAGTTTTATGCTGTGCCTATATGTTCCATATGTGGATGTTCTATATTTGTCTGATCATATAATTGGAAAAAAAAAGGAATTCATGCCTCAGAACACAAGCGAATGTGTTTTGGGACAGTTTCATAACCTTCCATAGGATCGTGTGGCAGTGAGGCCTTTAAGGGCTGCTTAAGTTAAACTATTTAGAGAGGAAGCAGTAATAATAAGAGGCAAAGGCCCCCGAAAAAAGTTTTGTATGTAATGAACGCAAAAATTCTTGTACATGCTCTGACTGACGTTTAAACAATAAAACATTTGTTAGTGTAAATGTTGGCCTGGCTCTGTGATTTGCTTGTTTTTATTAAGGCAGCTACGTGGACGGCTATTGTCCTGTGACATTGTGGAGCGTTTCATCTAGAAGTTCCTCATTAAAGCTCTAGTGGGAGATGAGCTTCCCCTTTGAGTTCAAGTGGCCCTCACAGCTGACAAAATAGCATGGGCCTCCCTTGCCCCAGTCCCTGTGTAGTTTGGGGTAACGTGCTGCTGTCCAAATGTCCCTGTGGTCAGGGAGGACAGCCCAACCGTCACTCTCAATTACAGGGCTGAATATCTGCGGCCGGCTGGTGACGCTCTGCAGAGGGGCCTGTGTGCTCTGCCTTTACAGCCGCCACAGTGAAGAGAGGAGCCATATGGGGTTCTGTAAAGGCGACCAAACACGATCGAGTTTGAACTGGTTAATGAGGGGGCATATTCATGCAACGGGAATTCGGCTGCCTGAGATAAGCAGTTGTGAGTGGTTTTAGTTCAGCTGTTAGAGACGCAGACTGATGCTTTGGGGTGTTATGTAACAGGTTTGCTGACTGACTTGTGGTGGTGTCATTATTTTTATTTTTAAAATGTGCTAATTTCCATTTTTTATGAGACACTGAGAAAAAAGGGGGAGAGATCAAGCATACTTTTATTTTTATCTACAAACTTCGTTTGGAGGAACAGCAGCAGACCAGTTTTTTTTTTATCCAGTTTTCTGGATTCAACAACTTAGTTTCTTCTTTTGTTTGCCTTTTATTCTCCAACCATCAGAGGAAATTTGCCATGAAATGTGATTTATTCACTGTGATCAGGATACAAATTTGACCAAAACAACACTGCTGACAAGTCTGTTGTGTGATTTGCTTTGTCTGTGCAGGTCGAGACATGGCCAACACAACCTTACCCGGGTATCCACCTCATGTTCCCCCCACAGGCCAGGGCAGCTATCCCACCTCCACGCTCGCTGGAATGGTTCCTGGTGAGTCTCAGACAACGTGGCTTCTTCCTTAAAACGTGGAAGCCAAGAGGCAGATTAAAGAGCCTCTAGTGGCAAATTATGCAAAGAGGCAAAGAATATTGACTGGGAGATTAGGAGGCGCGCACATCTTTGTATTAGCTGTGTGTGCATGATTGGATTAGACAAGCTGAACAAGCGATCAGAGACGAGGAAGAGGGCAGCCACCATTCCTTCCTGTTTGTCTCTCTGGCTTGTAAGGTCTTTTCTCCCCACCCTTGAGAAACAGCAGCTCCAGCCTTCCCCAGCCTCACGCTCAGGAGCCCCTACTTAACCTGCTTTTCAGGTTCACAGCAAACAGTTAAGGGTCAAAAGCCAGAGGCATGGGAGACCGGGAGATATCCAAATAGCTGTCTCTCTGAGGAGGGAAGGCCTGTGTTTCACTGCCAATAACAAAGGCAAAGGTGCAGTTTTTAGTTCTGGGCTTTAGCTTTAGCACAAGAAGCGCATTTTCCCCGAACTGCAAGTATTTTTGCTCTGACAGGATTAAACCACATGGACAAGGGAAGTCGTCACATGTGTGGCATGTTAGCACCCAGCCCCCAGTGGCTGTTCAGCCTGTTTTTACATTTGATTTTGGCCTAATAAAATCATTAAATCGTGTGGGTGGAAAAGTAAAGTCAAACACACTTTTACTTTCCATCTGTCCTTATGTGGCACAGAGCAAAAGATGAGCACCTTAATCCCATGGCTTGTGGTTTTGTATTACAACCGATTCATCCTATACACAATCACTAAGATTTAGTGACAAGAGCAAAACACTGTTAAAGCAAAGCCATTCCTCACCAGCCTCATATAAAATCTAGCCTTTATTGTCTCGTAAAAGAAAGAAACGTGTTGAACCAAAAGGAGTGCTCACTGACATGTTCCGAGTCGAGTTACATCCCCTGCAATGAAATTCTTTTGCAAGAAATACCAGAGCTCAGACTAGAGGGCTTTCAGACGGTAAAATTCTTCCCCAAGACAGGCAGCAGGATTTATAGCAGCAAATCAGAAATGTATGCATGAAAGTGTTTATTACTCTATATTTATTAGACGGGTTTGGAATATGCTGGAAGAAGAAGAATGGATTGATATCCATAAATGGGACAGGGAACGCCGCCTTTAGTGTCACATCCTGTATTGTTCAGTGTTGCATAACTTAAGTGAAATGAAAAAGAAATAAATTACTTGCTTGACTGGTCGCACATCGATGACTATCATTTCCAGCCTCAAATTGCATCCTGTTCTGAATGACGAGAGATGACTGCATGTGGAGGGGTAATGGTTTGATGCATTGAAATGCTAATTGCTGGTTGTTTTGTTTTGCAGGGAGTGAGTTTTCGGGGAACCCCTACAGTCATCCGCAGTACACAACCTACAACGAAGCCTGGCGATTCAGCAACCCAGCATTACTAAGTGAGTACGGGGCGGGGACTAGACTAACTGACCGTTAGGTTGATTCTTGGTTTTCTGTGCTGTGGTTAATAGCATAAGTGGTTAACATAATTCATAAACCTCTGATTACTTTAAAGTTGATGCATTTGGTAAATGGCAGTAAAAGTTGTATCTCAAATGGTTGCTGTTTCAAATGGTTCATTCTTCTGTTAACTTTCAGGTTCCCCTTATTATTATAGTGCCGCATCGAGAGGCTCCGCCCCTCCCACTGCTGCCACTGCCTATGACCGTCACTAGTTACCATGGAAACCAAATCAACCTGCAGGACCATGGCCTCAGCCTCCATATTGCTCCGGTGTGAACGGCACGGTCCACTGGTCACTGAGCAACTGCGCATAAAATGTTTCCGGCTCACACAAAAAGAAACTTCACCGTTTTTGGGGGATTTGTGACGACTGCTTCCGTCTCTCTTTGGACACTCAAAGCCAAAACATAAAAGAATAAAGAAATAAATAAAAAAGAACCCTTGAGAAATCATCACAGACACTGAAAGATGCTTCACATTCACGATGAAACTTGTGGCTCATTGCAGTGGTTTTGAGAAAGAAAATGACAAAAGGAAAAGACTTGTGACAAAAATATCCAGAATTTATTTTCACCTCCCACCGCGTCACGCTTTCATCGCATCACGGATCAATACTCTACATTCCTTTACTTGATGGCTCTCAGCAGGGACACTGTCCAGAGCTTGAAATGTAGCAGAAGCAATTTTTTCCTTTTTCAATTTGTCTCCCTCTTGATTCAAATGGCAAACGCAGAGAGATCAGAGGAGCAACACATGCAGGCTGTGGCAATTGTTTTGATCCATTTCAACAGTCACCGACCAAACATCCAGCATGAGTAAACCGATCGCTTTTGATGCCATGAGAAGATTAGGACATGATCTCTGTGATACACAATCAAGATGTAAAAATGAAAATTAAATGAATAAAGAAACATCAGTTTGAGAATAGAGGGTGCCATGATAGTATAGCACCATGGCCCACTATTTGCAAGGTTTCAATGAACTAGTAAATATATTCTTAAAATGATTTTTTATTTCATTTTTATAATTCGTAATGACTAAACTGCAGACTGCTTGGCTAGTGTTTCACTATTTCTTATTTGTCAGGCTATCATCAGGCAAAACCTATGTGGGTTTTTTTTATTATTATTATTATTATTTTGCACTATTTTGGAGGTTTGGAACATTGGAGCGTTATTATGCAGAAAAATTATGTGCATATTTGCTTTATTTCACTGAACTGACTTTGATAAGTCTCGGTCTGAAAAGGCACTTGCAGTTTTACAGTTAATCTTGTAATTCAAGCCCATTATGTCACTGACTTGATGTGCACTATACTACTTGTTTGTTCTTGATGCTCCCTTTTCTATTTAAGTTAATTAAGTCTTTGGCATCCAACCATCAAAAAAAAAAATCTAACAGCCATTCCACGTCCAACCACTAACCAACCACTTGTGTAGTTTGAAACTGTCTAGATTCACTCTGATATGACTCTGACCCCAATGACATCAAAAAGCAGGGCGAAAATTTCAGCTAAATGCCTTAAAAATGCTCCCACCTACCTTTTTTCTTCCTCACGTTTCAATCCAAGTCTTTTTTTTTTCTAATCAAGCTGGAATGATGGTTTCTTCATCTGTCAAGTGAATGTATTTGCATTTGCCAAAGACTTAGTTCTTGTTCATGTTTATTTACAGGCCACCGATATGCATCATGAGAGCAGTATTATTATTAGGTAAAGCCCACAGGAAAAGTATATGTATAAATTCTATGCAGTGCAGAGATGGTCATCATATGCATACTCAGCTGTAAACCTAAAGGTAGGTGAAGTTTATTTAATGTTATGTTATTTACAAGCCGTTCCTTTTGTAGAGGCATTTTTTGTGTGTGATGTGAAGACACTTCTCTGTAAATACAGTAAGGAAAAAATGTCTTTCATGTTCATGGGTATTATCACTGACATTATGCTGGCATCACTTGTACAATAATAAAAGTGTCTGAAATCTTTTATGCAAAAGGGCCTCCGTTGTGTGTCTGATGGAACGAGTTTACAGTTCATAGATAGGACGATTATGAACGAACAAGTTTTCTAATAATGTTTACGCGGTTCAGATTTATTCAATCAGAAAAATATTTTGCAGATTTGAGTTCCTTAGTTAAGAGGATTATCTTTGTTTTACAACCATACAATCTGACGTGTTTAGATTCTTTCAGAAGACACTTTAAGGCTTGAAGTCTTATAGTATTTCAGTCCGTTGTGCATTGATGAGTTTTTCAGAAAACAATGATGATGCTTGAATAAGCTCTTTAATCTGAGTAGAAGTAATCCACTTCTTTTCACATTTTACATTTGATACGCTGCATAGAATGTAGAAAGAAAATGCGTTTTTTTAAGCTAATTTCCAAAAAATAACAGTCAAGAAAAAGTTTATTTTTGTTTTTTAGATCATTTCTGCTTTCTTATAACAAAGTAGATACAACTAACTAATAACTAAATACCACTAAGGTTCCAATAGTGGCTGGACTGAATGATTAATGGTCATTTTCATTTCTTATATTAGCATATCTTGTCAGAACACTTTTTTTTCTTAAAAAAAAAGGTGTTTCTCAGTGCTCAGACTTTGTGAAAGCTCACATAAGAGGTGATTAATTTCTCAAACATTATGTTTAAAAAAACATGAGCTTCAGGGCACTTTCTGCTTCTTCTTAGCTAAAATCTAAATGAAAATCTCTCCTCTTTTTAGAAAATCTTAACACAAGAATGCCTGCGTGATCATTTATAAGTTGATAAAGTGATGATGTTAACATCCGCCTAATTTATGAAGTTTTTTCTGCTTTAACGTTTTTAAAACTATGCATTTGAAATTAGAAATATAAAAAAAAAAAAAAAACTAAAGGTTACTTTTATATAAATATATTAACTGATCATACAGAAGGACATCCAATATTCATATTCTTATTTCTAAGTTTTTCTCAGGAAACAAGAAATCCCTGTATGACACAGGGGTGAACTTACATGAAATAATGCAGCTAATAAACAAAATCATAAACAGTTTTTGTTGTTTGCACAACAGCAACAAAATAGTTACAAGTTACAATATTTTTCTTTTTTATTTGAGTTTTTTTCTTTTACACAAGGGCTTAGAGAAAAGCATTAAAAAAAACTGATTTCATGCTTGCATAATAAGTTACAACTACAAAGACTGCTGAAAGACATAATAGTAGAAATAAGAAAAAGATCATCAAAATAAAAATAAATGGTGCCATGGATCCGTCCTTCTAAATCAATGGGTAGAACAAAGGCTGGGCTCCAGCATTTACCCACACCTTTAGACCTGGGACCCAAATTGTTTCCTTCAAACTCAAAATATTTCTTGACTTATTATTATTTAATGAAATATTATTGTAAAAATGCCGGAACTTTGGCCCAATACGGTTTCAACTCCTTAGTATGTTGCATTTTAGAAAAGGTTCCTCTTCTTGTACTTCTCTTTTTTTCAACATTGTAGGTCAAGTTTTGACTTAATATGACAATTTTGCTTCTGTATGTAATAAACACAATAAGTTAAGGCACTCAATGAAACTGTTTAGAGATGAATGTCTTTACTTTTTAGGTATAAACATCACATAGTGGAAAGCGACAAGAGAGCAAGTCTGAATGTTTTCTAAATGATTTGGATCACTGAGCAGCACATAAAGTGTTTAACCTCTCCTCGCTTTGTAAAGCTGAATTAATTTTTCTAGCAGTGTGCCTGAATTCAATTTGTGCTAAGTTGCAGTGAGAGATTTATGCATAAAATCCCTTTTAGAGCTTCTTTTCGCTCTTTCTTCGCTCTATAATCCCTCCACCGCTACCTCCTTGTATTACTTGGTTATATCATTATTGATTTACAAAGAGTGGACACTGTCCTGATTGGAGCGCTGTGATTTGCAAAGGATTTGAGCAGCATGAGCACACAAAAAGGCAGCATATGCATTTGAAATTATGTCAGCCTGGGATTATATAATGCTGTGCTTAAAACTATTTGTGTCTTTAGGTTCTTTTTCAAACTTGTTTAAATGGTGAAAACGTAAAAGTTTAAGAATTTGGCCGTCGTGATGTGATTGAAAGGATACCATCAAGGTTTCTTTTCTATGCTTTGGTCACATATTAATCCTCAGAATTTCAGTAAAAATCAACAAATAAACTTTGTTGTTTGAGTTGAGCTGTTTTGTGGTGCACAATGATACTTCGGGGTCATCACGTTTAGGCTCCTTTTTTTCATGTCTTTCAAATTCAATTTCTCTGCCTGTTGTTTATTTCATAACTTCCCCATGAAGCATCAAAAGCTGATGTTCTGTCAGCCTCTAACTGTCATCTATGTTTGTCATTCACAGACCTTGTTAAATGGGGGAGGAGGAAAAGGAGAGCTTGTTTCTCCCCTATTTTCAGCTTAGAATTCCCAGAAGCAGAATTATTCTATTTTGATGGAAACTTTTTGTCACTTTCCTGTCTAAATTGGCATATCTGGCTCTCTCTTCTGAAACCAATAAAGTGTGAACGTGTATGTATCTGTCAATCACGCTCAAACTGACTGCAGCATGCCAGATGACAGAGGCTTCCTCTGGAATATAAATATATAAATACGTAGCTTATATGCCATATATATATGAAAATGGTAGAATGATCTGATTGGCTACAAGCAGCTCCTGTACCCAGTTCTGCATGTCAAACACCGTGGAAGGAAAACAATGACTGTTTGTTGTTGTTTTTCCAGTGAAATGTAAGTTAAGGACAACTTAAAAAGTTGAAGTTCCACTTAGCAGAAGATTTTTTTTTCCAATGGAAACTCTTCCAGTGATCAACCTAATGCACAGGCGTCGAAATATTGATTTATTATGCATTTTAGACATGAAACTTTAATTCACTTGAGAGAAAACTACTTTCTTTTGGCTCGCTCTATAATAGTGACATTGTTTTTCTCCTCATTTGTTAAGCAGTAATTATCTCGATGTGCAGACCCCATTCTGCAGATTACGGGTGATATAATCAATAAGTCGCACAACTTGAAATGTACATTATGTCAAGGTACACTCACAAAAAGGATTGAATTGATTTAAGTAATCTGAAGTTGAATTTTGATATATTCAAAATGTTTTCAAGTTTGATCTCTACCTGTTTTCTGAAGCAACAATCTTTACTATCCAAAGTTTAACTTTCTCCTTCACAATGTACTCAAACGTTTGACTTTTTAGATATATCAGAGCTCATTTGTTTGCTCAAAGTTGAATTGAAATAACAACAAATTCATCTTTGATAAAAGGATTAAGTGAAGTTGAGAGTATATTTGAGTTAAAAAAAAAACTGCATGTGATACTTTTGATAGTAATTAAAAAGAGACCTTTAGGTAATTTAACTGTGAAGTTCATCTTGCATAACTTCAAGTGTCTGTTGACCATTTGCACTGCCCCACACTGTTGTATGCTGACCGGGCACTTCTCTCAGTTTGTGCAGCCGGTCCATGAATATGCCACCGCGACTGAATTATCATTTGGTTACTGGTGTGTCAAACGTACGATAAATCCTCAGGATGTCATTATTTGCGGGGACATCCGGAAAAGATGACGAGGGAAATAGAGAGGGGAGCGCTGTGGGCAAAACATGAAAATGCAACCCACGTCTTCATATCTGAGGGGTGGCGTGGACATTGTAAAAAAAAAAAAGGGAAAGGAACTCTGGCTTTATGTGCTGTATCTAATTGGATCTGGCAATGTATAATCTGATTCCCCAGTATCCATCAATTCCTGTGTTAGACCTGTTTGCATGGCCGTGTCAGAGGGGCAGCCTAGCTTGTTATGATGCCTGAGCAGCAATTATGAGGTAATTTTTGACTCTTGCTGCGTGAGGCCATCCAGAGGATACTTGAGGGGAGGTTTCTAATGAGTGAGCATTGATTGATTGGACATAATAAAAGCCCTACTTGACTGGAAATAAGTGTGAGGGGAAAAGGGGACGTGGGGGGGTTGAGGGGGGGGGAGCACAGGGGTTTGGATGACAGCATATTTCCAAATGAAGCAAATGACCACCTATTAGGTCTGTATAGGTGAGTGCCACACCTCTGCCAAAACCGGGCTGGCTCGGCTCAGCTCAGTGCCAAACCTCATTTTCCCTTGCACCGGTAAATAATTACCCCAAAGGCTATTGTGTGATTCATGATGCAATTAAAGCCTAATACAATGCAGCTTGCTTAGTGATCCTGTCAGGTTCCTGCACCATAACAGGCACTGGTGGTCCTGGACTAACCTGACTGGGCAGTAATGGGGATATCCTCCCAAGCAGACAGAAGAGCTCCCTAATCAGCTGGATTTGTCAGGCAGGCGTGTTTGTTTGCAACCAGGGGGACAGCTGGGAAATATTCAGAGAAAAGTGAGGACG